GGTTTCCTGCATGTCAGAAGAAAGTTAGCATTGAAAGGGAGGGTTTCAACTGTATTGGAGTTTTGCCAACGATGGATTTTCACTACGGTGGCTGCTAAAATGCCAAAGAAAATTTATTTGCGAAACTGAACGGCACTTGTTTTGTGCCCGCCATACTATGCCATGTTTTGCAAGAATAACGGAAATCAAATGTCCTGCTTTGGACGATGTGTTTGTTTGGTCATCTGTATCAAAAGACTGTCTATATCACATTTGGATGTTGGTGTAAATAATTTTGGGGAAGTTGTCCTAGGGTAATTCAGCGTGGAGAATATTGCTTTCTTTTGAGGGATCTGTTGAATAGTTAGGATTTTGTTGAAAGAGGTTGTCCAGTTGTTATATTAAAAATATATCGGTAACTGAGAATAGCAGTAGTGGGCATTGTTCGTTGTTTGAATATTTGCCAAGTTGTGGCGTTATTTCCAGTGAATTGATTAAAATACAAATTGTCTTAGAGGTTTTAGAGTTGTTGGGGTAAAAAGAAGCAGTTTACACTGGACAGTAAGTGTCTTGGCATCAAGATCTCAATGCCTACCAGTTTTTTAAATCGTGTTTTATTTTAGGGAGTATGTGTGTTGTTTTAGTTAAGGCAGCGATTTGCAATTGAACAGTTTGTCGTGAATTGGTTTTCACTGCTCTTCTTTTGTTTTTGTTGATTCATTTATATATTACTCTTTTATAGCATTGTCTCTTAGATTTGTTGTTTGCATTATTTTCAAGTACGGTTCACGAGAATAAATGTAAGAAACGGTTGGTAGCGTTACAAATTGAATTTTCATGCTAGCAGTTTTTTTCTATCAAAGTTTTTTCTTTAGTTCACATGAGGAAGGCGGATGAGGTACCAGTTACTTATCTGGTTGTAGATTCAGGAGCTTTTATCAAACACGCACCCTTACAGGTACTTTTTTGTTCTATTATCTCACTTTTTGTTTTTGTCTTCACCTAGCACTTTATCATACGCTTAAACTTGAACAGTGGGGGTGGTTTTTTGCTAACTTATGCATAACTATACTTTAGTTGCGTTGTATTGATATAGGTGGATGGGCATTCGTATTTTTGTTTCCATTTACATTATTACGGGGTAACTAAGGAAGGGATTGCAATTTTTTCGCGACTAAGTACCTAGTGAAAGAAATGTCTGTATTTACTTTTGCAGTTCACAGCTAGTTTTCGTCGTATGATGCGTCATCGATGTTCTTGTGAAATAATATCAGTTTATATTGATTTTTTAAAGAACATTTTCAGCTTACGTTATATCTTCCTTTAAGGTAGTGTTTGAAATATTGTGTTGTGATTCATGTATCATCTGAGTAGTGTGGTAGTTAAATTAATTTTTTGTTCCCTTTTTTCTTATTAGATAGAAGAGCCACAGAGTTTTAATTCTACA